AATGTACCACGTCCACGGTTCAACTTTGGAAATGATCATGCAGAGAATGGACCCCGGACTAGGTGCGTTCAAATAAGTCTTCCTACCAATATGACGATGTTGCGAAAACAAGGTCAAACAACCTCTATATAACGGATTAAGCTTGTGACAAAGCAAGTGTATTGGGAAGGAAAAATATATGTTATTTTAGCCATTTATTTATTCGTATTGACTCCCGAATACAATTTGGCACATAATTAGAGAAAGTAAACACACGTTTGTTGTAGATATGAAGACCAATATGTTATGATCTGTTTGGTTGCAGTCTCCTTTAGCTTTATAGTATTGGTCCGACCTCGTTTTCGCAACTTAGTCGGAGCGTCAGGGAGACCTTATGGAACTTACCTAATCCTGTTTTATTTGCCATAGTATTCGTGAGTTCCAGCATCGAACCATTGGTTTGGTACATTTTATTTTGGTACGCATTTTGGAGTAATATCCCGAGTTGGCGCAAATTTCTGGGCATAGATATAGTCATTTCGGGATTTTCAGAAATTCGAGCAGCCGATATGAAAAGGGCGGAACTATTTCCCTTCTCTATTCTGGCAATGGCGAGAGAATACCCTTCATAATAAGGCCCAGGGCTAAAAAATAGGCGAAGACCTTTACCCTTTGTAGTTAAACGCTGGAGATATGAGGCATAATTTAATGATTCTAAAATCTCAGAAGCAGACAATTTCATCAACATCTATTCACAAATTAATAAGAATAGCTTAGAAAAAGCATATCAAAGTATAGATGCAAGGGCGAAGAAACAAAGCGAAGCATGATGCAATAAGGGATTTTGTCCATTTCATGCTTATCATCGTTAACATATTTTTTATTGTCTCACTTATAATAATATCGCGCATTATCACGCTGCTCATCGTTCTTAGTATTTTTTATTATCTTCACTAATTCTCTTAATTTGTTCATTTGGGTTGGTTTTCTCTTATATTACATTAATTATTTCATGTAGCTTTGTTAAGATATAACATCTCGTTAAATCTTCAGAGCAGGGCATCGCAGAATATCACTCTTACTTTTCCGTTATAGTCACATTTTTCGCCCTAATCACTACCGAAGACTAGTTAATTAATTGCCATTTTTATACCCATTTTAGGGCCTCCTTCAAACCATATTATATTTTTTGCGTCAAATATCACTTTTCTCCAACCAGGAGTTACCTGAGCTTGCATGCAATAGTGCTTAATTTGCAAGTTCTCCTGAGTTATATACACTTTCTGGTATCTTTGGCATAGAATTTAAGCTCTTCTCCTGACTTTCTGCTCCCCTGGGGAGAAAGTTACATTATTTAATTATCAATTGCTTAAAGCCTTAGTTACTAGCATAAATCTCCCTAGGGGAAATTCATATTTTGTACTTCTCCTCTTCATGTACCCATTCAGGTATACTGAGTCGCTATAAGTAATCCGCTAATCGAAATAGTCTCCTGTATGCCTCACTGGAGATTTAGATTGGGGTAAGTATCAGCGAAGAAGCCAATTACACACCGTTACGCTATTCAGCACAAAACCTTACTATTCATTCTTGTCATTTGGCTCTATTTCTCCACTCATCACATCAGCATTCGCTTGTGATCTCAAAATATGTGCTCCGTTTTGTTCTATTGTATATAGTACCACGGCCTTGTATAATGAAACAAGAAAAACAGTCACAAGGTACAACTTATTTAGAACAAAAAGGGTTACAGGTAAGGATTCGGAGTCGGAAAAATAGAGGCGATGGTGAAGTGTGTAGTTGGTGTAAGAGAGCAATGTTCGGTCACAGAAAGTCACAATTACTCATTGAGGAGCGGCTGAGAAGTGACCCTAGTCAAAGGTTGTACCCATCCTATTTAGTTTAAGGATATAAGGAGAATAGAATTGTTAGGTGATATCTAGAATTGCACTATTGGTTGGGTTTATTCCGAAAACGTTTCGCCGGCATCGTGGTCGACATCATCAGTAAGAGGCACCATCGTAAGCATAGATTTACGATTGGTTGTTATAAGTTATGATAAGTTGTAACTTTGTGCTTACAATAGCGCCTCTCAGTGGCAATGCCGACCACGATGCTGGAAATTTCAGGTGCTGGAAATCACAAATAGTATGGCAGAGCACACGAGACTAGGCACTTTCCACAAGGTCTCTCTAAGGTTCCGACCAATTTGCGAAAACAAGGTAGAACTAAGAGAAACTGGGTATCGAGGAATCTCTAGACATAACATTGTTAAAGAGACTTTCATTTAGTATGAAAGTAAGTGAAAAAGATATTCGTTGGTCGATCTTACCAGATGAGGACGGATAGATCTCGTTAAACGGCAGACGTTTGGCTTTTGTACGATATTCATTTTGACGCAGTCCACAGACTTCTTACTTTTGTTTTCTGTGAAAACTTGCTATTCTTTCGTCTACCATATGATGGACATCATCAGAGCTGGGTTTCATTCTTGTAGGAGTCCCACGTTAACACTTGGGCAAGAATACTATCTGGCTCTAACATACTTCTTATATAGACTGAATTGAGCCAAAAGACGCTAACACGCACACATACACATTGACATACACTTGAGCAAAAGTAACAGGACCAGTATAAAAGTTAATTAAGCAATCCACTCTATATCTATCTATCTAGGTTTTTAATTTTCTTTTAGATCAATTGAGTCTATATAAGAAGTAAGATAGAGCCGGATAGTGTTCTTGGCCTAGTATTAACGTAAGACTCTTACAAGAATGACACCCAACTCTGATAATGCCAATCATATGATGAACGAAAGCTCAGCACTTTTTCACCCGAAACGATGGAGGAAGTCTCGTAGACTGCGTCAACATGAATATCGTATAAAAGCTAAACGGCTGCAGTATAACGAGATTTATCCGTCCTCATCTTGTGAGATCGACCAACGAATCTCTTCTTCATTAACTTTCATACGAAATGAAAGTCCCTCTAACAAGGTAAAACTAACACTACAATATAAGTTGTCTTACCTTGTTTTGGCAACTTAGATACCAAGATAGAATGGCCTTTTTGTGTGGTCGCAGTCTTATATCGTTGTATAGTTGTTATTTGACCTTGTTTTCGCAACTTGCTCATATTGGTAGGAGGACCTAGAGGAACGCACCTTGTCCGGAGTCTATAGTATGCATGGTAGTTTTTAGAGTCGGCCGTGGTCTTTGTACATTCCAAGACTTTTCGCCGGCATCGTAGTAGGCATCGAGGATATAGGATAAATGAATAGCTCGGAATAGAAGGAGAGATACTATAACTGTTTAGCATATGCTTGATCAAAGGATCGCCTTAACTTGTCTCTTTTGACGAGTTTTAGTGTAGTGCTAAGAGTGGCAATGCTCACTGACGATGCCGGCGAAACGTCTGAGAATGTACCAAGTCCACGGACCGACTTTGGAAATTATCATGCATACTATGGACTCCGGACAAGGCGCGGTCCTCCAGGTCTTCCTGCTAATATGACCAAGTTGTGAAGACAAGATCAAATAACTTCTATATAACGAAAGGACACCATGCCCATACAAAAGACCACACCATCCTGCTCTTCATATCTTTAACACTACAATATCGTATTTGCTATATCGATCGATTACATTACTTATTTTCTCATTTATAAGCAGGTTTGTGAGATTACCACTATATCCTATATTGGAAATGTATTAACCCTATTTTATTTAAGGTCATAAAGAGCTGGTAGTTGAATTTTCCCATAATGATATGAGCAGAGCTTACGCTTCCATCATGGCGAAAATTCAACAGACTGTGGAGTAAAAGTTACTACAAGCTTTTACTACATTTCGCAAGAAAATATTTTTATCATCTGAAATTCAGCCTTCTTTTTTATTCACATCTGGTATTACTTACGGTCCTAGAAAACAGGTACAAAATATCTAAATAGGAATTTGCGGAATATTGATCGAAATCTTCGAAGCTCGGATATGGTTTAATTGTAGTTTCCTTTACCTGCATCCATTGGAGTTCGGAACTTATGTAGTTCACATAGTTTTGTGTAGTCTGCTATAATAGTAATAATAATTTTTAGCATCAGACCTTTGATTTGGTGCATTTCCAGACGTTTCGTCTGCATTGCAATCTTCTTCGTCAGTAACTTTTACCTAGCACCTGCTTTCCCATACAAGTTGCGAATGCAAGCTTATACTAACTGAAATCTATGCAGATTTGAAGATAAAGATGACCAAAAATGGTAAATGAACCTCTGAAAACAGTCATTAAAAATATGAAGAGGTACAAATCCAATCTCTAATCAGCTCTTCTTTGATAGTGGAATACTCAACGATCGAGTTTGATATTGGCGCTATAAAAAAATGTAAAATACCTTGGGCAATTTCTGCAGAATATTGGAAGAATTTTCTGAATTAGACTGCCATTTGTGTAAAGGAGAAGTTAATTATCAGAGCTTTAGGCTTATTTATAGTTAAATCCATGTTTTGCCGGACGCATTTTACAAATTCAATTAACAAAATTAACTATATAAGGAGCCTGTTTCTGATTAATAATTAGTTGAGATCCAACTGTATTTTGCTGCACAGACTCCATCTAAGCCAGAAAATAGACGTCGTTATGATGTAATTTTGTTTCTTTTAAACTCTTGAAAAAAAATTTGGAGTCTGATATTTTTTAATATTTATGATCTTACTCTTCATCAGTCTCGCCTTATGACCATCCTTTCCGGTATTTGTTTGATATGACAAGGAAGGCTTAGTACTTGTGCAAATCTTTTCCATAATGATTATTTATACTTTATGGTGGTACCTGTGACTAGCTGCAAGTGTTCGCCAACAATAGATCTAAGGCCAAATTGTATATTGGTTTTGCAGAAAAGGCTGTTCGTCCCGGTCGCTACTTCACTGCTCAGTAAAGACACTGGCATTGGCGTCGGCTCTAGGAGTGGTACTCTCGCCTCGACTACAGAACCTAGTCCCTCCGACGACTCGCGCACTGAGGGCTCCGAGAGACTGGGCTCTCGTGCAAACTACGGTCCTCTACACGAGGCCTCTGCCTCGCCAGCTTCTTCATCATCTGCCTCGCAGCCGGGCGCCGGACATCTGCCAACCTCTACCAGTTCCCACAACCTCCGCAAAGGTCTGAAATCACGTCAACGACGCGAATTGATACCATACGACCCGGAAGACCGAGTTGAAGTACGTCTGCTTGTGGTTCAACTCAGCGAGCAGATCTACCGTGGCCAACTGCTGCTGGCCAATAGCACCGCCGCTGCCGAGCTCTGCGCCCTCTTGGCCATCATTGAAACTGCCACCGCCTGTCTAAAGCAGATGCAGATCCCGGAGGCCACATTGCAACATGTTGGAGTCCCAGCCGCTGTCTCCGGACAGGGTATTGCCAACGGAAGCCAGGCCAAGCAAGGGGCGCTTCGCACCTCCGTTCCGATGGCTGCGGATGCCGACATCAATGCGGAAGCTGGAATCGACTTTCGGGACATGGGTGGCAACTGCTGTGGCCACGAGACTGTCGATTGCCTGACACCCAGCCTGCCAGAGGTGGAAGAGACAGAAGTGACTCAATCAACAACCTCATCACTGGCATCCACAACTGCCCAATATCACCGTTTGGCTGCTTTAGCCGCGACCTCTGTAAATGTTACCTCGGCAAGCACTGAGTCTGGAATGGCAAGTCGTTTGTCTCGTATTTTACGGCATGCTTCGCCTCCACGCCCAGCCACCGAACGGGAGGGATCAAGGCCAAAATCAACGGACCATCAGATGGAAGATGAGGCCAGTGGTCAAAGGTCAGGACAAATAGGAGTCCATAAGCCACCGTCGGCTGATCCAGAGGAGAGATCCGAAGCTGATCGAAGCACTTGGCGTGCTCGTAAGCCTGGCTCTCGTAGAAATTTGCGGTGGCCACACCTACTGAGGGGGAAAAGTGAGCACTTTCTCTTAAATTATAGCATTATTCACCCCATTTAGTTTACGAGGATGGAGGAGTAGAGATTGAATTTTACCGAAATGATGCAAATGAGCCCCAAGTTTGAATTGAAGTTCACAATGCCTTGCTTCTCATAAGGTATTCTGATCCAGAATGCATTTCTGTTTAGACCTCCTTAAAGTCTCATCAGCATCCCAGCAGGACTCGAACCCTGGTAGTGCAGAGTATAATTCCGGCAAGCTCTCCACTAAGTCAAACTGCCACAAGTGCCCTTGGGTCACAAGGCAGGAGTAAATTTCAAGGAACTTGGGCCTTCCCCAAATCCCATTTCTATGTTGGGATCGTTGCCAGGCCTCTTCAGGCGATACACATCCTGTTCCGAAGAAATCTGATGAAAAGAAGATTGGAAGAGGGAAGAGTCAGTGATAATTTTGCATAGAGCCTGGGCAGACTTGTAGATTCAGCGATGACAGCAAATA